TACTGCTGGGGTGGGGTGGGGTGGGGTGGGGTGGGATAATAACGTTCATGTTCCTGTATACACACAGGCACGGGAAGAGGCAGTGGTCTTTCATCATCAGTTACTGCTGGGGTGGAGTGGGGTGGGGTGGGATAGTAACTTTCATGTTCCTGTACACACACAGGCACGGGAAGAGGCAGTGGTCTTTCATCATCAGTTACTGCTGGGGTGGAGTGGGGTGGGGTGGGATAGTAACTTTCATGTTCCTGTACACACACCGGCTTGTGGCAAAACAGTTTTAATTTGGGCCGCAGCCTCCGATCTATTTGAAGAAATTGCTCTGGCAGTCTCCAGGTAGCAGCTCAGCATCAAAAAGTCCATGGCCGCGATCAGCCCCGTCAAACGGCACACTAAGGAAAGAACTGCTGTCTGAACCGTGGCCGAAACCCAGCTGGAAAGTTGTAAGGATTAACAAAAAGAATAGGGTTGGATGAGACTCCATTGCTGACACTCCAAATTATCATGCACAACGGCTTCCATAAATCCATTCATCAGATTCTTGCAACACGGGCAATTCCACACGTAACAAACAAGGACAATGTATTAGCAAGAGGCCCCAAACACTTTCGAGGAAGTACAAAAAGTACTAGAGCATAGATGAAAATGTAACGAATAAGATGATGATGATGATGATGATGATGATGACGGCAAAGAGGAGGAGGGAGGAGGATGAGAATGATGATGATGAAGCTGATGATGATGATGATGTTGTTGATGATGTTGAGAGGGAAGATGAAGATGATGATGATGAAGAAGAAGAAGATGATGATGACGACGATGATGATGCTGATGATGATGAGCAGGAGGAGGAGGAGAAAGTTAATAATGATGTGCTAGCTATGTAAGTAAAGTTTTCACCCGAAGCCCTAAATCCATCCATGGAAATACACGTTCGCCTAACAGCTACAAATCTAGTCGCGGTCGCGCCGTTATATGTATATCTTAACATGACCGGATCGCAACGATATCTATTACCACTATAGCAACCGTCGCATTATATACAGCCACATGAAAAACGAAAAGACATGAAAACACAGCAAAGCTGAAATTCCACCTAGATAACATAAACCTCCTGTAATTCGGCGTTGCAATGGTTCCAGCCAATGTCTAGAAATCATAGGGATAGAAGACAAGTATGTGCGCAAATGCTGTAGAGCATCTTACTGCCACAAGCGATTGGTTTTATATACCCTGGCATCAAGGACACCCACTTACCCCCACAAGCGACAGATTTTTACCGCCACAAGCGATCCAAAAATGGTCATCGCAATCTTACCGCCACAAGCCATCAGGCCTTGAAATGCTGCACCTGCCACGCAAAAACATCACTCACTCACGGCAGTAAAAAAGATCACTTGCGGCAGTCAAAAAATGAACCAAAAAAGAACAATCTCACTGCCACAAGCGATCGGCGCATCTCACCGCCACAAGCGAGGTACGAGCCCCTCAACCATCGGCCCATGTTGAACATCCAACTCCACCTCCACCTGCGACAACATCGTTTGACTCTTCAGAGATGGTGACACGCATCCAAGAAGGCCTCAAGCAGGAGATCAAAGAGGCCATGAGAAGCAGTCTACACTTCCATCGTGCCAGAGCCAAGCCTGTCACTGCCAAGGTAGATCCTCCGCCAGCTCCACAACAACATCCCACTCAATCATCAAGCTCTCATCCCAATGTGCCACTTGCCACTCCAGTTCCATCCGCTCGTTCCCCTGTGCCACGCCGTTCATCAGACAAGTCTGGCTCTAGACGCCATCGTGATGTACTAACTTCATCAAGGAAGACTGACAAGCGCTCCTCCTTTAAGCTCATTGACAGTTCAACGTCACGACATCGGAGTCCTCCTCGCTCCAAGTACCATCATGCACGTTCGTCTTCCAGACGACGTCCTGCCTCTTGTCGATATCGGTACTCATCGAGATCCCCTGTCCATCAACCTCGCAGTCCTCAACCTCTTCGACTTCCTTCCCGATCTCGTCAACAACGTCGACAAGCCTCCCGCCAATGTGTCCACCTCAATGCAGCTCCGCCCATTGAGAAACACATCACAGAATTCTCCCATCCCACTTCCCACCGTGGGGATCTCATCCCAGCCCCAATTATGGTTTCCAGATCCAAACTTCGCACGCCCACCACGCTCAGGAGGAACAACTGATACCATCCAGTTGAACGATGGGGAGGAACTAGTCGACCGTCCTGTGAATACCAGTGATGACTGGGTGCCAAAGTCAAATTTGCACTCTATCATTCCAGTCGAACCAAAGCAGCATGATCAGGACTGTGAATATTCGGCTGCGAGAACGTATTGAAGCTGGCCTTTGCAATGTCGCTCCAGGCATTCCTTCGGATTGCTGCTCCAACATGGTCCAGATCTTGGCGGGCTCCGGCCTTCTTGACAAAGTGGATCCATCTGAATCCCTAGGTCGGGGATTCCACGGTTCCAACAAAAGCCTCCTTTCGGAGGGAAGACAGCTTTCACTTGGGCTTTGGTCCACGGCACTGGTATCCAAGCGGCCAAAGCCATTCTATTGGAAGGATTGGTACGGCCCGCAGATTGGAGCTATCGTTCGGACCTTAGCAAGTGTGAATTACCTACTTTTGGAGGATTCTATTTAAGAACGCAAATTGGAAGATCCGAAGGAAACATCTCGGAACACACCATGTAGAACTCCTGGACCGATCTTCAAATAAAGGAAAAGGCCAACTACCCATCCTCTTTGGCCTTATATTTCAGGGCGCATACCAACACATCAGACTCGACGCTGGAGGAAATGGCCTTGCCCATTTGAAGGTTGCTACAAAGCGGGTGGCCTTTACTTCGGAGAAGTATACCATCACTTTAAGTCAGCACACGACAGTCCACAATGTCACTGTCACTTGGGACAGCTTGAAGCAACAACCTGAAGATCAACATGACCACCAGCCTTCACCATCGAGAACAGCTCCGGAGCCTTCTCAACCTCCTGACGGAATGCAGGACTACAAGGATGAATTACCAGACTATGCTGCTTCACTTTTCATGTAGTCCGTAAATGCGAAGCATGCCTTCCTAGGATCTACCTGGACAATTTTGCTATGAGAAAATTTGGCCGGACTGTTGCCTCAATCTGATTTCGTTTCGATGATGTCATTTGGGAACTTTCCGAAAGTTTTTTGATGTCTTGGACCTTTGACATGTGCTTGTTTTATCTTTTCCCTTTGCAATTCACCGTTCAGTGACCGGGTACCATTGTCTCTCTTTCCCATGTTGTTTTTGACCTGTTTGCATGATTGTCATTTGAGAACATGTCGCATCAATTCCAGAAGAAAATTCCTTTCACCACTGAATCTGCAGCGGCACGACCAGACACAAGATCGCTTCGTTCTAGGGTGCTGGGATTCAGCATCATGGCTAGCCCTAACCCCTTTCGATCTCCGCTGCTCAAAACCGACCAACCTATGGGCTCAGCTGTCCGGACCTTACGCAATCTGCCGCGACCCCAGTTCTGGCCACCACTTCACTCGGGACCTTATGGGATGATGGGACAATTCGGCTCCATACCACCTGCACGCCCATCCAGTTGGACAAGATCGCCACATCCTTTTCCACCTTGACCACCAGCAACCGTTGACTAAGGTTTAAGCAGTGATCTATGCGCATCTATGGTAGCTTAGTAAGGCCTCTAAGCTATGATGTATGTACATCTATCATGCCTAAGCGTCGCTATGCACTTACTAAGCGTGGAACATCACTTATAAACTTTATAAACGCTTAGAAAAAATAAAGCACTTAGCTATGACGAATAGATGCTCTTAACTTTAAATTGCCTAAGTGGTTAGGTGAGGTTATAGGGCACTTAGCCTAAGCATGTCTAAGCACTTAGCTAAGTGCTTAGCTAAGTGGCTAAGTGGCCTAAGTGCATCATAAGTGACCTCCAAAATTGACCATTTCGTCTTTGTTTTAAAAAGGGGAACCTTCAATTTCAAACATGGTCCATGGTTTCACCAAGTCCATGGTGGTCATTCAAAGGGTTTCAGGATTTCTTTTTGAATCGGTAACCCCATGATGCAACATGTGTGACACGCACTTTCCAACTTGCAACTGTGTTTTTGCAGGTCGGAAGTTTGGAAATCAAACAGGTTTGGAATCGTTTTTGCGTGATGGCACCAGAAAACAAAGAGTTACGTAAAGACACCATGTAGTTTCTGGAAACTGAAGATTGAAAACTTCATGTTGCATACTTTGTGGATTCACGTCATTATGAAACAGTTACGTTTGTATCAATTTGGTTTTTGAAACCTTGCCACATTTGACATATGTGGGAACAATGATTTTTTGGGCATTGGGTATGGTAAACGACCTGGCTGTGTTGTGGGCTATGGCAGCTGCTGGCGACTTTCTCAGGTGCGCCCCCACCCCCTTGCTCTGCACCCATGACCGCTTTTAGTTTGAAATGAAAGGAGAAACTGTTACGCATGAAACAGCGCACTTTTTTTGCAGCTTTCATTGTCGGTTTATTCAGCTGTTTTTCTTGTAGCATGTTGCCATGAACAAAACCCATTGCAGGATGTCACACACATCATACATTTCTTGCATTTGCACGTCCTATAATATAGCCATTTTGCTGCACGCCCTTAGTTTTGAGGCAGTGTTTCGTGCACGCCTTGCAGGGTTCATTTTTGAGCTCTTCGCGGGAAGGTGGCTGGTTTCATCAAGCAGACTGAGAGCGGGGGGCATGGAGCTGCTATCTCCAATTTGTTTACCTACCTGAAGTCTTGCAATTTGATGTACACCCAGAGAGTGATCCCCTCTTTGGTGCACATTCACCCTGATAATCGGGATGGATTAGGTTGCTACCCCACGGAGGTCCACGGACTTTTGACTGACGTTGGCAGTAGTGGATGGTCATGGTCAGAAGTGAAAGCTGTAGCAACCGAAGTCCCACAGACAGATACCAAAGTGGAGTTCCCAGAGCATGCTTCCAGAGGTTCAACCAGGGACAGTGAAATTTGCTAGCCTCAGTGCCACCGACAGGAACTTGGTGCTGCGTTTGTTCCAAGCAGGCTGCAAGCACAGTGACGAAAGATTCTGCACGTCAGGACACATTGTCCATGGAAAAATTGATGAAACATGATCCAACCTACCATGATGCAGTGACTCATGGTCTATACTGGGACGTTGTCTCGTCAGAAGTTTTGGATGCGTTTCCAGAGCTTGCTTCTCTCATCCAGCTCATGGCAAACACATCAGGGCAATTCCAAAGAAAAGAAGCCGAGCACCAGCCAGCTAAAAGGATATATGCATGCTGGGGAAAAAAGTCCAAGGCCATTTCCGTTGCAAAGTTTGAAGATGTGAAAGCCGATCTCATGAGGAGCAAGCCTGCGTGCCAGGAATCATTGGCCAATCGCTTCCGTTTTGTCATGCAGTATGGTGGGGGTCAGGGCTGTAGTTTTTTGAATGAGACCATTGAAGTGTGCTCAATATGTCCACCAAAGACCTTGGGCAATGAATTTTGGTCTGCAATCTTGACGCATGGGCGAGTTTTGGTTTCACTTCAGTCAGTTTTTTTCTTGAGAACCTTTGTTTGTTGTCACCAGGTATATCTACAATTTGATGAAAAATATGAACAGAATTTGTCTGGGTTTGATTTTCATGGCAACATTAAAAAAATCGATGACAGTCGCCACCATTTCTTCGAACCCGGCATGCGTGCATTCAGTATGCGATGCACGGGGGGTCCATTTCCCCGGGTGAGATCAAGAAAATGTTATCTTCCCAGCTGGATCGGGTCAAAGTGACTGAGGAAATCTTTGTGAAATTGAGGAATTGCATCGCTTCCAACACCGGCATCAAGAATTTGCAGCATGTGCATCAGTTTGAGCGAGATGCAATCAAAGTTCTCCTCCAACAGAACCCCAGTGAGCCTGTGCAGAGCCAGGCATGTGCGCTTGTTGAAAAGATGCAGGACTTATCCGGAGTAAAGTTGACCAGTGAATTTGACTCCTACCCTTTGCAGTCAGCCGATGCAGCCCCCTCTAGTTCATCCACAGGCAAACACCAGGGGATGGTATGGCGACCCTCGGTTGCAACGAACGTGTATTTTATTTTTTCAAACCATTCAACAAAAATCATTGGCACTTTCCTTTTTTACACCTGGTGCCTGCCCAAACTATGATAAGGATGCGCCAATATGATCAAAGCGGAAGTTTGGTGAACACACAGGATCTCCTGAAAGAACATGGTTTCGAAGTCGGCTGCCATGTGTCACGGAAGGATGGAATTCTAGCAAAAGTCCAAGCTTTTGAGGATGGTACCTCCATGGTTGTCCTAGCTATGGATGATGCCAAAGGTGGAAGCAAGGTTGTGAAGGTGGACGCCGCTAGCTTTTTGAAAGGCCAGTGGACGAAGTACCAGCCCAAGGCCCTGCCCCAGTACATGGAGAACTGGTGGGGTCCAAGTTGCTTGGAGCACAAAGACTCCTCGTACGTGAAGGGGAAGATTGCACAGGAGCTGAGACAAGCTACCATATGTAGCTGCAAGCCATCAGCGCTTCTTATACGCTGCAAGCCAGGGAAAGGAGTCATTGCCGCACTGAAGTTCGGCAAGGGACAGCTGAAGCTATTTCCCTTCACTAACCGGGTTGATGCCGGTAAGGGAGGTGATGGGGCAGTTCTGGTGACCACAGTGGGTGGCATGGAGTTCTACCTGCGCCAGAGCACTGGCATCACTGTGCCATTCTGGCACGTGGCTTCGGTTGCCGATGCAGCCATGGCCAAGATGGAGATTGTGCCTGCCAAGAACAAAGATGGGCTGCTCGAGGGCATCAAGATTCCCTATATGCGGAACATTGCACCTTTGGAGCCCGACACCGAGCTGTTGATCTACAAGCCGCCCAGCAAGACGCGCGTCAGCACTGAATCCTTGGACAAGCTGATCCCAGCGAAGAGACTTCATGGCAAGGAAAATCTGAGCTAGGTGAAGAGTAGCTGCAAACTTGTTGGCATGTGGTGGGCGGGTAAAAGAAAACAAGCGAGCCAAGCCCTGCTAGCGGTTTTGCAACCTGCTCTCGAACATGCATGATTTTTGCCAATTTGCATGGTCTGAATAACAGCATTTCGGTTTCAAAACATTCAGTTTTGCAGGGCTTTTGCTCGCTCCTTGCAGTCAGTTTTCCATTGCATTCAGCTTCCATAGCATTTTGTAGGCTTCAAAACATTCAGTTTTGCAGGGCTTTAGCTCGCTATTGGCAGGGCCTTTGCCCGCCTGCATCATGGAGCTGCTGCAAGTCCAGCAGATCACTGTGGAGAACTTGGTGGGATGCCGCTTGAATGGCAAAGACCTCTGGATCCCGAAGGTGGAAGATGTTGCTGGAGTGCGCCTTGTGTACCTCAGAAAGTGGGATCGAGGCCTCACTCGCTTCTTGACTGGGAGGAGTTTAGACCTGAAGAGCAATGGCAAGAATCTGAACTCCACATCTGCTGGAGCCTACCTGGATGACTTGTTCCGCAAGAAGAGGGAAGCATATCAGGCAGCTGTCTTGAAAGCTCATGAGCCTGCCCATGAGTCTGATGCTGGCCATGAAGTCAAGGCCAAGGGCAAAAAGCGCAAGGTCACTGATGACACGAGTTGTTTCTCGCCGCTTGTACAGATATCCCTGCCGGCCGTCCAAGATCCATGGATGCCAGAGCGACTGGTCCAGGTGGAGTTTGGTGGCCAGTCGGATCTCTGGATCGAAGTGAATGAGACAAGCTTGCGTCAAGTGGTCCAAGGGATTTCTGAATGCAATTCCAAGTGCGGCCGTGCTCGAACCTCGAAATCTGAGAAGATCAAGCCTGAGCCGGTTTTGCCACTTTCCCCTGCGGCTAAGAAGGAAGCCCAGGAGATTTCTGATAGTCCTGATGCCAAGTCTGAATGCGGCCCTGGTGATGTCAAGGATGAGTCATGTGAACAGAATTTGACTCCCTTGGCGGAGCTTGCTGAGGGTTTGGATACTTTCCCATACGATAGCCATGAACAGAACCTTCGAAAGCACATTGGCGGAAGCTGATTATAGGATATTTTGATGTGATCTTGAGGATCAAATGCGTACCATATACATATATAGGGTCTGTGCTTCACGGGATGTAGGTGAAGAACCGTTCGGATTGCAACTCTGGGTTGCTCAGAGGTGAAAATACAACAGTAGCTGCTGGGCCAAGCTATGTAGTTTAAAATCAAACGGCATGAGCATCTTCATATTTTCAAAATCCTTCTGGAAGTTTCATCCAGTTTCAATTTGATGGAATCAAGGTGGCAATGCCCTTTGAAGGTATCAGCACCAGAACTCATTTTGGAACTGCTAGCTTGCAATCCTTTTGGAGGTAGCCTCAAGGTAAGAACTTGCATCTTTCATGTTAAATTGAAGCATGAGAACTGTAAACCTTTTGCAAGGAACTGGCCAAAACAGATTTTTGAAAAAGCATGGGCAAATCTGTGCGGTTGCAGCCTGTCATCTGCGGGCTCAGTGTGCAAGTGGTGCAGTTTGATGCACTGTTTTTGTGCATGTCAGGTTCCAACGCCCTTTATAGGTGACAACCCGCATTTCAGAATGGTATGCATTGCAAGATCGAATTTCGAAAACAGTGACATCCCGCATTTCAGAATGGTATGCATTGCAAGATCGAATTTCGAAAACAGTGACAACCCGCATTTCAGAATGGTATGCATTGCAAGATCGAATTTCGAAAACAGTGACATCCCGCATTTCAGAATGGTATGCATTGCAAGATCGAATTTCGAAAACAGTGACATCCCGCATTTCAGAATGGTATGCATTGCAAGATCGAATTTCGAAAACAGTGACATCCCGCATTTCAGAATGGTATGCATTGCAAGATCGAATTCGAAACAGTGACATCCCGCAGTTCAGAATGGTATGCATTGCCAATCGAATTGCGAAAACAGTGACATCCCGCATTCAGAATGTAATTCATTGCAAATCGAATTTCGAAAACATGACATCCCGCATTTCAGAATGTATTGCGTGCAAATCGAATTCGAAAACATTCATCCCGCATTTCAGATGGTATGCAATGCAGATCGAAGTTTCGAAATGCGTGACATCCCGCATTTCAGAATGGTATGGGCGTTGCAGAGATCGAATTTCGAAAACAGTGACATCCCGCATTTCAGAATGGTATGCATTGCAAGATCGAATTTCGAAAACAGTGACATCCCGCATTTCAGAATGGTATGCATTGCAAGATCGAATTTCGAAAACAGTGACATCCCGCATTTCAGAATGGTATGCGTTGCAAGATCGAATTTCGAAAACAGTGACATCCCGCATTTCAGATTGGTATGCATTGCAAGATCGAATTTCGAAAACAGTGACATCCCGCATTTCAGAATGGTATGCATTGCAAGATCGAATTTCGAAAACAGTGACATCCCGCATTTCAGAATGGTATGCATTGCAAGATCGAATTTCGAAAACAGTGACATCCCGCATTTCAGAATGGTATGCATTGCAAGATCGAATTTCGATAACAGCAAAACCTACTATAGAAACAATTACAACCCATGGAAATACAATGTCATAGAAGGTCAAAGTTGACATTTTGATCGTTTCAACTTTCACCATCCTGACATGGCGCCGAAACCTGTGCTGACACCTGCCAAACGGCCAGCTGAAGCAATTGATGCGCCCGATGGAGCACCAGCTGGATGGGCATCTTCAAGGTTGTGGATCAAGGACTCATGTTCCAAACGTGTTTCAAGACTTTCCGTTTTAAAACATGCATGATTTTTGGTTATTGGGCAAAGATTTGATATCTCAAAGTTCATGTGACAAAGATTTGTTTTATGGTTTGACATGATCATTAACAACTCCGTCAGAACCGCGCTACGTATGGCATCGCAAAGAAAGAGGAGGAGTCTGAGGCGGTTGACAAGACGCCGGATCTGCAGCCTGATGTGGTTGACAAAAGCCCTATGGATGAAACCCAGCAGAAAAGTCAAGATTGGGTGGTGATGAAATATGCAAACATAAGTATATATATATAACACGGGAATAGAATACTTATATATACTTGTGCAAGGATAATGAACCTGATATGAATGTTGGTTGGTCCCAAGCTGCCAGCACATGGATTCATCGCAGGAAGAAAAAGAATGGGAGAAGCTCAGTGTCGAGGAGCGCATCATGAAGATCCAACTTGACTACGATCAATGGATGGCTGAGGAAGGAATAGAAACTTGGTTGCGGAATTATTTCATGGGTGCGCCACCTGTGTTGACACAACATGTCTATTTGTTTATGCATGTCTAAGTTGCAATTAAAGCACACATGCCTATATATGTATATATATATAGATTTTATACACAGATACTTTTGGATATATTTGGGGACATAACATGTTGTGCCCTGTGCTCAAACCCTGTTGTGTTGAAAATGGTGAGCATTTTGATAAAACAAAAACGTGGTACACTCCTTCTCCTTTGGCTTTCCATCACAGGCACTAGCCGAAGGTCGTGCAATGCCAGTTAGCACCGAAGCTTCTTGGCTTTGCGTTGAGGAAGGAACGTTGTTGGCAACGGGCACGTCTCATTCTTATCTTTCTGTTGAACCCGTGAGTCTTTTTGAAAGTGACCAAATCCGACGACTTAGATAGAAACATATGCCATCAGCTGCACCTTTTTTGATTTTGTGTGAGCTGCAACCGCTTGGCATCTGAGGCCGTTCCAAGCAGCACTGCATCTGGCTCTGCCGCTCTTGTCGATTCCACTGGCCCCACTGCTACTTGGCTTTGCACTGGAATGGGAATGTTAAGAACTACGGGAGCGTGACTTCTGAGTTACAGTCCATCTGGCGAGCATGTATATGAAAGCCCTGCCAGAATGCGTCGGTCCTGCAAAACAACACTTCAGTTATTCCTGATCAGAGGAGGAGAACACATAGGATTGACCAGTCACGAGGATCCAGTGTAAGATGTCCAAATAAATAAATCGGTAGTTGTCCTTTCACCGCAGTCTTGGGTTGCGTCAATTGTGCAGAAATGAAAGACGGCTGGGCGGTTATTGGCTTGGCCGCTTGCCATACAAATTGGAAAATGGAGCAGGTACGCAGAGCTGATCATGTGCTGTATCACATGCAATCAGGTAGATCGTTGGACGCGGTCCCTGATTGCATGCCACGTCCCCCTCCTGAAATCAGAAAGCTGGAAAAGAAGCAACAGTAGAGGTTTTACTTCTGTTCAGAAGTTCCACGCACACACACACACACTTACTCACACACAACACACAGTTCACACAAACCTGTGACACACAATTCTTTCGCAC